CACACCCCATGCCTCCCCTTGGCTTGCCCGGGCACCCCGCGGCTGTGGAGAGCCCGGGCAAGCCCCCCCTTGAAGGGAAGGCAGTTTAAACTACCTTCCCTTGGCTTGCCTGGGCACCCCACACCTGCAGGGAGCTCGGGCAAGCCGGCCCTTGGACAGGCCGGGGAAGGCATGGGGAGCATTTAAATGCCTCCCTGATCCTTCCAGCCCCCCCCAGCCCACCTGCCTCAGAGTCGCTGGGGAGGTTGCTCTCCAGGCCTTCCCTCTGTAGCCACTCGTGCAGAGGTTTTGGCTGTAGTGGGCGTGGCCAACTCTTAAGCCAGCTGGAACTCTGTTCCTGTGCGTTCCTGCCCAAAAATAGCCCTACCTGTAAGTAAAGTGAATCTAAATTCAAAGAAAGACTTGCTCTTGTACAACTTTTAGCTCAAGCAGAAGCATGAAAGCTTCCAAAACATCTACCTAGGATAAGTGTGAATTCTTTCAAGCATTTGGAGAACATCCCTGCTTCTATTTTGTTTCCACACAGAGCTTTTGGATCAACCATGCACCTTTTAATTCAAGATACACCATTTAAATTCCTCCTAGGCTGCGGTCACACGGAACAGAAGCCACACAAGTGAGACGGAAAACAGGCGGAGTTTCCGGCCGCGATCTCACCAGCACATCTGGGAAGCGTAGCACTCCCGTGGCACAACTGAGGCTTCCAGCCGAAACTGCGTGGCAAAAAACTAGTACCTTGGAGGTACTAGTTTCCGGAAACTGCGGGGCAAGGGCGGGCATCTGATCACGTTTCCGGTGGCATCCGGCGCCCGCCCATGTCCCCTTGCAAATAAGGTGGGTTTTTTTTGTCCACGTCTCTGTGGAGGCGCACACGCACCCAACTGAGCATGCGCATTCGTCGTGTACACACAAAACAAAAACAGTTTGCCGCGGCGCGCGCTACTTCGTTGCGCGCCGGCTTGTCCTGTGATCAGCACCTCTCCCTTGCCATGGAACCTCCACGGTACCTCCACAGGACCTCCACAGGAGGTCTGATCGAGTAACTGCGCAGTAGTTTGCCCCAGGGCAAACAGCCACGCTTCTCCCACACAGTTTCCTGCCCGTGTGACCAGGGCCCTAGTATATTTTTCTGTCCCCTGTTCTTCATCACTCCCCTTTCCAAAACTAATCTCTTTCTCAGCAGTCCAGATATGTTAATTCATCACCCCATAATTGTCCATTACTATGACTAGTTTCCCCCCGGAACCCCATCACTTGTATGCATTGCTTTAAGAAATGCATTTATCCCCACCCATTCCACAGTGAGCTCACAGCAACTACTGAGCTCCCACACAATCCTATGAAGTTGGTTAAGGCTAAGATAACTCAGGGAGATTTGTACCTGCACATCCCAAATTCAAACTTCTCAAACTAATATATTATTACAGCCAGTGGCATAGCCAGAAAATTTTGGAGATGCCAATGTTGGATCAGGCCAAAGGCCCATCCCGTCCAACACTCTGTATCACACAATGGCCAGAAATACCAGTGCCATCAGGAGGTCCACCAGTGGGGCCAGGACATTAGAAGCACTCCCACTGTTGACCCCCCCAAGCACCAAGATGACAGAGCATCACTTGCCCCAGCGTCCCTATCTATACCTTATGGATAATAGCCACTGATGGACCTCTGCTCCATATGCTTATCTAATTCCCTTTTCAAGCCGTCCATGCTTGTAACCACCACTTCCTGTGGCAGTGAATTCCAAGTGTTAATCACTCTTTGGGTGAAGAAGTACTTCCTCTTATACGTTCTGACCCGGTTTTATAATCCTCCTCTATCTTTTGATCTGGTGGGCGATAACAAACTCCCAGTGTTAAGTTTCCTTTTGGCCCCCCTATTTCAACCCATAGAACTTCCAGAAGCGAATCCAATTCACTTAGCCTCTCAATCTTTCTAGACTTTATACCCTCTCTGACATACAGAGCTACCCCACCTCCAACCCTTCCCCCCCTATCCTTCCGATATAATATATAACCGGGAATCACTGTGTCCCACTGATTTTCCTCATCCCACCAAGTTTCAGAAATACCCACAATGTCTATTTTTCCCTCCGACACCAAGCACTCCAACTCCCCGATTTTACCTCGGACACTTCTAGCATTTGTATAGAAACAGCTGTAATTTCCCTTACAAGTTAAGCCTGCATCCTTCCTCTTGCTATCTCGAGTCGTTGTCCGGCAGTCCATGTCACCAGCCATGGCCTCTGTGGACAATTTCAATCCACCTCCCTGTAGAAAAGCAACAGGTACCCCCTCATCTCTCTGAGATGAGCCAACCCGAACCAGAGACTTTTCATCTCCTGTCGGCTTTCCCCCAATATTCAGTTTAAAAGCTGCTCTGCCACCTTTTTGATTTTAAGTGCCAGCAGCCTGGTTCCTTCTCGGGACAAGTGGAGACCGTCTCGCCTGTACAGCTCCCTCTTGTTCCAAAAAGTATCCCAGTGCCTAACAAACCTGAACCCTTCCCCCCTACACCATCGTCTCATCCACGCATTGAGACTCCTGATCTGTGCCTGTCTCTCCGGCCCTGCGCGTGGAACAGGTAGCACTTCTGAGAAGGCTACCTTGGAGGTCCTGGACCTAAGTTTCCTGCCCAGCATCCTAAATTTCTCCTCCAGGACCTCACGACTGCATTTCCCCACATCGTTGGTGCCGACATGCACCACGACCACTGGCTCCTCCCCAGCACTATCTACCAGCCTATCTAAAACACGCGTAATGTCCGCTACCTTTGCACCAGGCAGGCAAGTCACCATACGGTCAGTACGCGGGTTCGCCACCCAGCTGTCTACCTGCCTAAGGATCGAATCACCCACTACCAAGAGCCCCCCTCCCACCCTGCTCAGGGATGGTTCCTTGGTGCAAAAGGAGAGCCGCTCACCAGCTGGGGAAGAGGTCCCTTCTGAGGGCACATTCCCCTTATCCTCAGCATGGTGCCCTGTTTCCCCTAGACCCTCATGCTCCCTGACAGCAGCGGGGCTGCCAGATCCAGAGTGGGACGTAGCTAACAAGTCCCCGAGAGTCTTTTCTGTGCGCCTAGCTGACTGTCTCTGCTTCTCCAGGTCAGCCACCTTGGCCTCAAGGGAGCACACACGTTCCCTGAGAACCAGGAGCTCCTTGCACCGAGCACACACCCAAGACTTCTGTCCAGTGGGCAGATAGTCATACATGTGACACTCCGTGCAAAACACTGGATAGCCCCCAACCCCCTGCTGGCATTCTGGCTTCATAATTCTTTTTAAAATAAGTAAATATAATCCCCCTTTTAAAACCCTTTTGTATTTATGTGGTTTTTCTTGTCGAAGTCAAATTACTTTACGGGGAAGACAAAAAGCCTAGGGCCTTCGCTTTCTGGCTCTTCTTGGGCATCTCACAGAGCCCCTAGGCTAAGAGTCCCTAGGCTTCAGCTCGTGCCAGAGGCTCGTGCCTCTGTCAAGGTGGTTTCTTAAATACTAAAGTACAGTCAATCACAGTCAAACAATGCCCCTTCCTCTCCCTCTCAAGCAGCCAGGACTCTGCAACAACTCTAAGCATTTTCACACCCTCCTAGACCAGTCCCAGACCAGTTCTCCCACACAATATCCTCAGCTGAATCCCCTCAGCTGAAAGCAAGTAAAAAAACACTCACCCTCTAGCACCTCTGCCTCCTGCTCAGAGCTCAGCTGGGTCTCCCTGCTTCCTTCTCTCCTTCCTACTCACAACCCAGCCTTCTTTTTATCTACCCCCTCACCTTTTTCCACAATGGGGATCATGCCTTCCATTTTATATTTACAACAACCCTGTGAAGATATGTTAGGCTGACAGTGTGTAACTAGCTCGAGGTCAACAACTGCGCCTCCATGGCAGAAAAGTGATTCTAACCTGGGTTTCCAAGATCCTAGTCTGAAACTCTAACCACTATGCCACACTGGCTTCTGTGGGGTGCTGTTGTTGAACAGTAATGAGCAGCTGGGCCTGGGTGAATCATGGAAAAGAAGAAGAAGAGGAGGAGGAGGAGGAGTTTGAATTATACCTTGCCCTTCACTCGGAGACTCAGGGCAGCTTACAATTTCCTTTCTTTTCTCTCCCCACAACTGATACCCTATGAGGTAGGTGGGGCTGAGAGAGCTCTGAGAGAACTGTGACTGACTCAAGGTCACCCAGCTGGCTGCATGTGGAGGAGTGGGGAAACAAACCCAGTTCCCTAGATTAGAGGCTGCTACTCTTAACCACTACACCAAGTTGCCCATTGACTACTGCTAGGCCTGCCCTGAAGTGTCCTTCCTCAAAGGCCAAAACAGCCCTGGAAATGGCCCTGCACCCCCTGCCTTTTACTGAAAGACACCAAGGCTTCAACTGGCAATAGTGTTGTGGTAGCCTAGCAATGACCAGAGGACATTTGTTTCTTAAAGCTACAGGGACTGCTTCTATTATTTTGGGGGTTTTAAAACCTGCCAGTTGATTTTTAAAAAAAGATTTCAGATTTTCCTACAAAGCTGGGGCATTTGGGGGTGTGTAGAAAGATCTGTGTTGTCTGGTTATGACTCCAGTCTATGGATTTAAGCATTCACAGATTTGGCCATGTTGAGAGTTAGATATATTGATATAATTACTGCCCTATCTCAGCTTTTTTTAGCAGGAAGACTTACACAATTGGTTGTCTTCAGAACATCAAACAACATAACAAAAGACCATAACTAAACATTGCTAGTAGCCAAAGCCTTGGCTTGACTGGCAGTGGCAGCACCAAAGAACCAAACTTCTCTCATCAGTAGTTTCAAAGCTATGATTGCAAGAACCCTGGCATTAAGCAAATAAAAAGCCAGTAGTGTATTAGTAACAAGTTTTGGTAAAATGTATTATACAAACATTCTAAAGCAGCTGTCGATGTTTTTTTTTTAAAAAAATCAGCTTTAATATCATACAAATAGATAAAGTGAGCATCTCAGGTGTCTTACCTGTATTCATTCAACTTCTTACCTGTATTCGTTCAACTTCTAAAAAAGTTGTCGATTGGAAGGCCTTTTCCCATAATGTGAGCTCACACTCTAATTCCACAGAAAAGTAGAGATCCTCTCCATTTTCAGATTGGACACCGAAGCAGTGTTTCCGCCGGTCCAGTAGATCACTGTCCTGATGAAAACCTGGAGTTATATAATCTTGCATACATCAATTAATATTTCTTATGGTATAGGCATGTTATATTCAGAACTAGCTTGCAATCATTACCTACTGTCATCAGTCTTGATTCATATGAACAAATTTTCACTTTAAGTAACAGTGTAGAACCCATAGGTGCAATGTTCAGAGCTTTTTGCTAGCTAATTCCCATGGAATGGAAAAGTAGCTCTAAAAATAACTTCTAAAATACCTTTAACTATGACATGAAGTCTGCACATAAATACAGGGAAGAAAATTGACCAATATTTTATAAGTTATACCACAAACACTTTTTGTTCAGATCAAAGATCATACCTAAGACCAAAAGAAAGATATCCTTTGAGTTATTAAACCAAGGTCCCTCAAAGAATAGCATCACATCCCACTTGAAGAATCAAGTTTTACCTGACAGTCTTAGATCATTTTTCACCAGTGGAACTTCAGCTAGTTTTTGCATTTTATGGGTCTGTAAATTGAGCAAAATGACACACACACACACACACACACACACACACACACACATATATATATATGTTCCTTTGGACAATGGACAAAATTGGTACTGACTAACTTCAGAGAACTTTGGAAATAAATGATTTTATTATTGTGTTAACGGCTATCTATGTGTTTTAATTCCTTGTAAGTTGCCCTGAGCCTGCTTCGGCGGGGTGGGTGGGGTATAAATTTTATATAAATCCATTTTATATATATATAAAAATGGATCCATAAATCTCTGAGGAGAGCCATCTTAACTGGTCCACTACTCTTGCCCAAGACCAAGTATTTCTTGATATCTGGAATTAAGCAAGTTACATCACTCAGAGTATGTTTTCAGACAGGAAGGAGGATGACCATCAAAAGTTACTGATTTTTTAAAATGGAAGGGATCTTATACCTTTAACAGTAGATTTAATTTTGCAAATGAAAATTTCCATGTCATTCAAAAATAGTGGAATGATGCCACATCAGAGTCCATTTTGCAATGTTGACTTCTTCCATTTTAAGTCCCAGAAGTAGCATTTCAGGTTCTTTCTTAATTTTACATTTCATAATTTTCTCCATCTCTGTATGGATCTCAGCCCAAAAGTTTTTTGCTTTGTCACACGTCCACCACATATGGTAAAAAGAGCCCTCAATTTTTTTTACATTTCCAACATTTGTTTGACATATTACTACTTATATTTGCTATCTTTTTTGGTGTCATATACCATCTATACATCATCTTATAACAATTTTCTTTTAAATTATTACCCGTTGATATTTTCATTGCAACTGCTAGAATGACAATATGCTCAATGCTGGAAACAAGAAAGAACTCCCGGAATTTGGGAGTGGCTAAAAAAGTTACTCTTTATGGATGGTTGAAAGGAATAAAATGACAAGAAAGCTTAAGAATCAGGAAGCAGAAGAATTTTTTGCAGGTTGGAAGGACTTTAAAGAATACTTAGAGAAATATTGGGATGTAAAAAACAATTTATTTAGCTTTGATAATTACTGAAGAAAGAAGGTTATTTAGAATAAGTTTAAACATATAAGAACAATAGTTAAAAGATATGTTACCGGTAGAATTTGACCAATGAGTAAGGGGGAAAAGAGGGAAATACAAGATTTGGGCTGGAGGTTGGAGCACTGTGGGAAGTCAGAAGGGGTGGGTTATTAGGAGAAAAGGATATATTACAGTTTGTAAGGTGATGTACAGTTGGATTTATTGATATATCCTAATAAAATTGTTTTTAAAAAATAGTGTAATGATGGCAGAATGCTCTATCCTAGCAAATGCAAAGTCTGCTAAAATGTCTATCTGAGGTAAGATTATAGGCCTTGTCAGGAAAAAAAAAAATATTGCAATAATGCTAGCACCTGCCATTTTTCAAATTTAGCCACTCCCACTGAAACATATTAGAACTGTTGCTTTGCACTTATGTTTTCAAACCATAGGATTCCACAGCTCTGCATTGCTCATTGTTTTTAAGAATTTGGATTTAATTACCTCAACATTTCCAATATTCTGTTGCCCAGACTCCCCCCAACTTCATGTATGTTGCCCCCTGATGTCTATGCCCCCCAACTACATTTGGCCAGTAAACAAGTTTTGGGCCATAACCACAACAAAAGGGAGGCAGTCAGGAGAAGGACAGCTACTACACCTGTTCCCATTGTGCTAACTTAAATTAACTGTCCCAGGGTAAACCCTCACCTTGCCCAAAGTTTGGCAATCAAATAATTGATAAAAGACTTTCAGAGATTAATCTGTGGGCCTTTTGTCATATCAACAAACTGTTGCATTAGCATAATGTTGAACTAGGATCTGAGAGACCCAGGTTCAAATCCCCTCTTTGCCACTGAAGCTTACTGGTTGACCTTGAGCCAGTCACATACACTCAGCCTAATCTACCTCCCAGGGTTCATAGAATCATAGAGTTGGAAGGGACCTCCAGGGTTATCTCGTCCAACCCCCTTAACAATGCAGGAAACTCACAACTACCTCCCCCCCACACCCCCAGTGACACCTGCTCCATGCTCAGAAGATGGCAAAAGACCTTCAGGATCTCTGGCCAAATTGGTCTGGAGAAAAATTGCTGCCTGACCCCAAAGTGGTGATCAGCCTTTCTCTGGGTGTGTAAGAACTGGGTGTGTATGGATTGGTAAGAAAAGGCCATGAGACCTAAGCACTGATGCAACCCTTCCTGCCATCTTTCTCATGATCTGCCTAAGTTCACAGAACCCTAAATGCTGTCAGATGGCCATCTAGCCTCTGTTTAAAAACCTCTAAAGTAGGATGAGATGGCTAGACAGTGTCATAGATACAACAAACATGAAATTGAGCAAACTTCAGAGGACGGCGGAAGACCGGAAGGCCTGGCGTGATCTGGTCCATGGGGTCGCGAAGAGTCGGACTTTACTGTGCGACTGAACAACAACAAAGAATGAGATCCCACCACCTCCCAAGGAAGCCTGTTCCACTGAGGAACCACTCTGTCAGGAAGTTCTTCCTAATGTTTAGCTGAAAACTCTTTTGATTTAATTTCAATTCGTTGGTTCTGGTCCAACCTTCTGGGGCAACAGAAAACAACTCTGCACCATCTCAAAATTGGTGTATGATTTAGCTGTTTCCATATGATTTATCATGTTAGAAAATTTACACATAATACAATGGTACCAGACTTTCTCATACCAGAAGGCTATAGGGGGAGGTGTGCATTCTTTCCAGTTAGATGCAATTGTAAGGCGTGCTGAGGCCAATAAGACAGAAATTTGTTCTCATTCTGAACGTTCCAAGTTTGATTCCAACCATAAGTCCAAAAGCATCATTTGCAGTGTTCTCGATATTTCTTGAGTGACAATTTTGATTATAACCAATGTTCCCAGTAAGCTGCAGAGCCTTGTGGGCAGAAATTCTACTTCGGATTGTTTTTTAACAATTTATTAAGTTTTTTATTTAAAGATAAATGAAGCATACATAAAAAATTACATGCATACATCACTAATATAGTGGAAAACAGTGATAATATCAAACATGTTGCTCATAACGTACAGCATATCAAATCCATAGAATTTCCAGCTAAACTGTAATTTCAATTACTAATCTAGTATTTTAAATGGTCGTTTAACATAGTGCTATGACCCTACAAAAAGCTCACAACTTATAAATGCAACCACTCAGAGTATCCAAGATTTGATGGCAGTATGTCATTTTCTGTGAAATATGTTATCAAAGCGAACCACTTTCTTACAAATCTAGTTTGTGACCCTGTGTGTCTTTGTGTGAGTATGTTATAAGTGTCAGCTATTTTCTCCATCACAAAATGATCCCAACATTTGTTCCTCCATTAGTGCATGGATGGAGGTGCCGAAGACTTCCAGGAGGCAGAGGCAGCAATCGCGAGCCTTGACGTGGCTATCAAAGTGGCAGAGACATGCACTTCTCTATCATCTGTAGTATGTGTTGCATTCAGAATTAGTATGGCTGGGTCCAATGGGATATGCTCTGCCGTTATTTTGTTTATTTCTTCTAGGACCTGTTTCCAGAAGCTTTGTATGACCGGGCAGAACCACCACCAATGCTCCCTCTAAGCTGTGGAGTCTTGTGAGCAAAAATTCTGCTTTGTGAGCTACGGGCATTAAAGTTGTGAGCGAGCGATTTGGCTACTGCATAAATTAGTTTGCTCTGGAGCCATCCCTTCCTGAGCCGAGACAAAAATGTGTGAGCCGGAGGCTAAAAAACTGTGCGTTAGCTCACACTAACTCAGCTTAGAGGGAACACTGACCACCACTAGCATTAAAGTTGTGAGCCCGCCGATTCATGTGTAGCCATGTTGGCCTGAAGCAGCAGAACAAAGTTTGAATCCTGCAGCACCTCTAAGACTGTGCCATCAGTCAATTACTCTCAGCATTCCACAATTAAGGATACATTTGTCCATCAATCTCCAATTTTGACATATTTATCTCCTTCACTGAGTTTTCCCCCAGAATTAACCCCCCTAAAAGCTAAGCATATAAACTAAGCTTGCTATTCCTGTTGGATCCTTGAATCTGTTAAACATATTAATTACGCTGTATGCTAATTTACAGCTCACCCTCTACCTATATGTATGGACTGGTAATTTCCATTTCATTGTATCTAAAGAACTGTGCAGGCACAGCAAAGCTTATGGAGTGCACCTTAGAGGGAACCTTACTTATAACCCCTGCAACTCCTTGCCAGAAGGCCTGGATGTGGACACAGTCCCACCAGTAATGCAAACAGTTGCCAGGGTTCCCACAGTATTTCCAGCATCGAGCACTTAATTGAGCATTTATATGGTTCAGACGCACTGGGGTCCAATACCACCTGGAAAATAGTTTTAAAAATTGTAGTCTTATATCTCTGGTCCCAGTTCCTGCCAACCTAGCAGTTCAAAAACAAGTAGATACATAGGTACCGCTTCGGCCAGCCACATGACCACGGAAATGTCTTCGGAAAGCACTGGCTC